ATATATATATATATATAAATATGTAAGGTGTGCGTAAAATAGTAATAATTTAATTTTCAATATGTAAACATGTATATATGTATTTATCTCTCCCTTGCGATAATTTGCAGAAGTCACGCGATTTCATACTGATGCAAGCGTTTGTGATGTCCGATCATGTACACTGTTCCGATAATAAAATGTCCTTGTGTATCGCGCGACTTTTCAATACTACCTTAATCCTCGCGAAAGATCAGTAAACGGTCAAAGTAATTTCACAATCGCACCTCTACGGTTATCTCATATATATATATATACGTTCAGCTGCGATATATAAAGATATATAAAGCTTTTTTTCTTAACTGCCGCATGAATAAAGTAATTATTACACAATGAAGTGGTACACTTAACGTACACCTTATTCGATGTAATGACGATTGCCGCGATGTAACTGGCCTGGCATTAAGTATTATGTATAACGATTACATCACAGTTGACATTCTGTGATAATCGATGATCGGTCCATCCGTGGCCGTATCTTACGTGAGAGATGCGCTTGTTGGATACAAAAAGCAACAAAGTTACAGCATCGATTCGTGTTAGACTAGACATAACATTCGAGAGATGCCTCTAAGCAAGTAAGAATGAGAATTTCATGTCACGTCGGAAGTCAACGGCTCCTCGCTGAGACTATGTGAAAGTAGTTAACATATCTATTCGTTTGCGTAATAAGCTCAGGATATCTTCCTTACACACCTTCAGAATAAACAGAGAAATCAGAATCAAACACACTAATCCTACCATAAAACAGATTTTATTAAAAAATTAATTTTGCAGGCATTGCAAAATTATTTTAGAAACTTAGGTAATATGTAACATCAAGATTCGAAAATAATTTTTCAGATTAAATGGCCTATTCGCTTGATTATACAAACTTAATTTATACAAGCCGACTCCACTTTCGCGAATTTTTATCATTTTTTTCATCGCAGCAAAATCTTGATTATTTCACACGGAGATGAAGGCTGAGGTGAAATGCTCAATGTTAATCTTTTTTTAATGTTTAAATTTATAAATCACACATTTGCATGCATTCGTACAAATGCTAAAATTAAAGTCATCTCTACAAAAGTTAAATTCAATTAATTTTCAACTTATTCCTAGGGTTACGGTTTGGAAGTTTTGTGTGGAAACGTAATTATTATTTAAATTGCAATGTTTTCTTGGTTTTCTTAACAAAATAGAAAAAAAGCAAGGGAGGCAATCTGAAGGCCGCGCAAGAACAAAACGCATTGCGCTAATAGGAAGCGCAATTCCCGTCTATTGATTGTGGGTTGTTGCGATGGCATTATTATGCGCATTCTGATGCATATGTAAGTATGCATATTAGAATGTATTCTTCGCCTATTGTCTTGCTGGTCTCATAATTCGTAAAACTGCGAAACTACGTGGACCTAAATGAGGGACTCTAACTCCGCGAAGCAATACGAAAGTTTCGAATTATCTACGAGGCTTTTCGTAACCCGCGAAAATAAATAAATCCGTGAGAAATTTCGTTTATTTTTTGATACTCGTAGAAAATATTACATATATTATTTATCGTTACATTCACATGAGCATAATAAAGTTTTTCACAGGAGACTAAATTCTTAAAAATTCCTGTTCACTCTCATATCTGAATCAATAACATCAAAAAAACGAAAGACATGTGTTTTTCTCACTTTTAACATCATAATTCAAGATGGCTGAACCAGCCGGAATCTTAAATTGAAATATTCTTTGATAAAATAATATTAGCAATCGGTAACACATGATTCAACTATATAGATAGGATTAATTATTAATTAATGTAATAAGAGATAAGTTTTAAGTATATTTTATAAATTAATTGCAAATGCGCTATCAAAATCATGTGTTTCTTAATATATTTTGCAAGAGTTTCATACTTTCTCGTTTCTGACACTTCTGTGTCTTTTATAATTCAAGATGGTTACGCTGAGTCAGCAGTCTTAATATCCCTGTGAAAAATCATAAAACATAAAAATGCTGTATATGAATAGATTAATTCATTAATTGGTTTGCTGCAGTTTTATCACTAAACTAAATAAGCGAAACGTCACGAGTTTTTTGACAAACAATACCAATTATTAGAAAGCTGTTGAAGTAGCGAGAGTTTTCAACCAAGAGTAAGGTCATCAATGGTGGTGATGAGATAATCAGAACAAGGCGCTTCTTGGTATCGGGACGGTATCTCAGGGAGGTCTCGACACGAACGCTTACGAAGGAAGCGACTATCCCACACACGCATTTACTTCGGGCAGATATGTAGGTTTCTTTGCCATAAAGTATACGAAGTATCTTTCAAAGCCCATCGCCTTCTCGAGTAGGGGTAAAGTGAGAGTCGGTATAAAAGGGGATTTCTTTCCTCTCCTGGGATCGCAGTCGATCTTATTCGTTTGCGACTATCTCCGTGCGTTTGCCATCGCATTCCCGTCGCACATTCACGTTTGATCTGTCTTTATTGACGAAGTGCACGTCTCGTGACTCAGGATGAAATACATGGTAAGTAACTACGAGGGGGTTGTCAATTAGCGCGACATAACTTTGCCTCTTGAGGCTTCTTGGAGGGATCGAAGAAATAATATTGTATTCTCGATTGTATTGTGTACGTATCCGCATTGCAGGAAGAATGTGTTAATAACTGCAGAAAGGATATGTTAATAACTAATGTTAAATAACTTTAATTTTATTAACATCTTATATAACTCTTTATTTATAATCTTTTTAATTGTAATTTTAGGAAGAAACGATGAACCTATATTAAAATAAAATTAACGTTAATTGACAATAATAAACCATGATTTTTAACAATTTATTGTTGAATTTAATTGAATTGTTAAATTTAAAATAGTTAAAAAAATTAATAAAGTAATAAAGTAATACAATTTAACATTTAATTAGAAGAATTATCTGACAAAATGTGGTAGCGAGAAACGTGACTCTTATAGAATCTTAAGAAGCTATCATTGTCATTGATACATTGCGACAACCTGCATTTATTAATTTATATGCGCGAGATGCGCCATTAAAGTGACGAAACAAGCACTGTGTGGGATTAAAATCCTGGAGCTTTACATAATCTAAAGATATAAATTTACATATAATTTTTCAAAATTGCTTTCTCGAATATTAAACATATTTAAACATGTTTTGACATGACTTTCTTTAAAAAATTATAATGTTACAATATGATAATTAATACTAATCATTATAATTAACATTATAGTATAATTTTAATATTATCTGCATATATTATATTACACCTTTATTCTTTTTTTATCTTTTTTATTTCTATTAAATTTTATAAAATTTATAAAACTAAAATGCAATATTTATTTTTTACTTTTATTTTTAAGTTTTATAGAACACAATAGAAATAAAACTTTTTAATTTAAATCTTTTTATTTCTATTAAATTTTATTAAAACATAGAAATAAAATATAACGTTGTTTTAAAAATTTAAGAATTATGATTAGATAGACGAATAAGATCACAACGGGACAAGCAATACGATGTCAAATAATAATATGAGGTGTTCGTAGTAGATTGGGATGTGAAATGGGACGGGTCCAACGGGTGTGCGACTTTGCAGGTCAAGAGTTAAATGACCCGCGTTGGCATTTGCTTCTCACTTTCACTCATCTTCTGGGAGCGCATCGCGCGATTTCGTAGCAGAGAAACCGATAAATCCACTTTGGAACTTGTGTTACACTCTTCCGCGTCTATTCTCATCGATCATTTTATCCGTTGATTTAGTTTCAGGATTAGAAAGGAAACAAATTGACGTAATCCGAATTGCACGATATAATGCATAACAACATAAGCATACGCGTATTTTGTAATCGCGCGTAATTTTGAAACACACGTTTCCCCGAGATGCATTTTAATCATGTGTTCGATAATCAGGAAATTTAACATCTGTAATTTTTCAGGTGTTAGCAGTGATTCTGGGATTGGCAGTGGCGCAAGAGCCAAATTACCATGGACGCAACTACCAGCAGGATGATGGACAACATCAGGCTGACAGACGACCTACGAGCACTACGCCCATCCCAATCTTGCACTGGAACAAGCAACAAGAACACGATGGAACTTACAAAACCAGGTGCAATTATATGTTTCTTATATGTAGAAAAGAAAGAATGATTTTTAAAATTATTATAATAATTAATAATATAATAAATATAATATTAATATAGCATAGTATAACATAATATAATAAAGCTAATGGAAAAATTATTATATTATAATAATAGTTATAATATTTTTTCACAGGTACAATTTTTTAAGACCCATAATTATATAATATTTCGAATATTAAAAGATTATTTTTTTTAATCCTGCCTTTACATTACATGCAATAAAAAAATTTAACTAATAAGTTAACATGTATTTGTGTGTTATGACGCTTTACACAATTATATCACTCATTGAAATATTTGTCACGCGAGTTTCATGTAATCCGGTTTTGAAAAACTACTAACGCAATATTGGATCGCGACGGTATATTTATCTGATGCCTCAAGTTCGTGCAATCTTTGCCGGCGTACACTTTACAACATTACGTAATGCAGATCGATCGACTTTCTGGACTCGTCTGTTTTGCGCAATATCGATTATTTAATATCCTGGACGATATCCCGCAGTTACGAAACGGGCAATAATATCATCGCTGAGGAAAGTGGCTATATCAAGACCATCGGCGAAGGTGAAGACCGGGCGGAGGCGATCGTGCAACAAGGCACCTTCTCGTACACGAGTCCCGAGGGACAGCTGATCACCATTCACTACACCGCCGATGAGACTGGCTTCACGCGCAAGGTCGATCACATTCCCACGCCGCCACCCGTTAGCGAAGAGATCCAGAAAGGCCTCGACCTCATCTACGCGGGCATTCGTCAGCAAGAGGTAAATATACTCACGACCTTTCCTCTTCCGTTCAACCCCCCATTATGTTTAGATGTTCTCTCTCGATTGCTTCTATAAAAGTCGCGCCGCTCGATCCATTCCGTCAAATTCCACAAGGTAAATATTTAATTGAATTATTTATATAATAATTATAATAATATAATCCCTTATAATTATATACTCTAATGAAATGATTTTTTTTATCGGAGATATTGGTCCAAGATAAAGAACATGATGACGATGATATTTGAAAGTTACATAATAAATAAATCTATAATAAATATAGATAACGTACAAACTTGCTAATATACAAACATTCACTTGTCGCAACATTTTAGTTTGTATATTAATTTAAATCAATTGTCTGAAAAAGATAGATCATCTTCAGCAGCTTAATGCGGCAGGTATTGTAAAATTCTATTAAAGAAATTATATTACACAAGAGTACACAATTTTATTAGATATGAAAGTATACATTGAAAGAGCATTCATTCAGTACTTATTCAGGATTTACGCGATGGAGTAATAGTATATAAAATTTTACTGCCTCACTTGCACGTCAAAATCCATTCATGATTTTCCGTCCTGGATTATCCCCGCTTGTTTCCCCCCCTCTTTCATTTCTCTCCTTATCATCTCTGTACACGTCCACGTTCACCTTTATGGAGGAACGTTCTCCGCGATGGGAAGAACTTCTGTTTCGCCATAACTGGCATAGGTCACGGTTTCCAAGCAGGGTTTGCGAAAAGCCATTCAGTTATCTGTATATGACGAGCACGCTTGCGAAATCATGATAGCGATTTATATCGGTGCAAAGGCTAAAGACCGCGAGTTGCATGGTATGAATGACCCGCGTGAAACGAAGAAGATAACTTATACTCGCATGCTATTTCCTTTCAACTCTTGTTAATCATCACGTCGGTACAATAAAATAGCTACCGGTTTTCTTCTATCTTCTAACTCGTTGATAAGTATTATTTTATCTACGTGTTGCAGGAAATATGACAAACAACGATCCCTGTTAAGATATCTTCATTCAATTAAAATTGAATCTTAGACCATAATTAATGTTCTACCGCTGTCAAACAAGTTCCTTGTATCTTAAATTTATTGCAATGTAAATAACAAGCTAAATCTTTAAGCTAAATCTTGAAAAACAAGAACAAAAAAATATAAAGAATTTTCAAAAGACACGATCATTGCAAATAATTGACAAACAATCAGATCTAAGTAAAAAAAAAAGGTCTTTTTCGGGAAAAATGTCTTTTCTCCCATTAAAAAAGAGATAAATTTTTTTTTTTTAATTAAAAAAGAGACAGATTTTAATTTCCTAAAACTCAAGAAAAAGTTAATTCGTATCTGTTAGCAAGACAATTTACAGAGACATTTACTATGTTTATGTTTCAGGAGGAAGAAGCTCGCGCAGCAGCGCAAAAAGCACAACAACCACTGAGTCAGCAGGTTGACAGGCGGGATGATTACAACAGAAAATTCCAATAGTGAATCCCTATCGATGCTTCAGCGATGTAGCATATTCGCAGCACTGTACCATCATTAAGAAATAGCAATTAAGTTGTTAAGTTACGTTATCCTCTCGCGTCCCAAATATACATTCTCCATTCTATGTACATTTCTAGTAAGAGATATCGCTTGGTAAGGTTCGACCCCCTTCTTCCACGTCTTTCACGATTGATTCTATTCTTTCTTAACGTGAGATCCTGGCATTTCCTGGTATGCATTAATGATCAATCTCCTATCTTCCTTTTTCTTTTTTTCCTATGACGGTGTGCCGCCACCGTTCCCGTGTAATCGCGCTGATCGGGTGGGAACTGACATTTCTCGTTATGTCGCGATAGAGAAGAATGTCACGGGAGTAAACCGTACCCAGCGAATTAATCTACTTGCGATCGTGTCTACGTTCATTCATGATGCTTTGCCACCTTTGTACCCTCGCTATAGAATGCTTCCGTCTTTAATGTGAGAACACACAATTTTTGACATAATCTTTTAATAATTCTTTTTTTTTATATTACTTAAAACTTAAAAAAAGAATTTTTTTTTTTACCGCCTACGACTCACACTCAGATACGTCGACTTTTGCCAACGTATGCTCGACATTTGCGTAATAAATGCATTTTCTCTTTTCACTCGAATAAGTATCGGTTGCCGACAGTGCGATTGACTACAAGCAATCTCCGATTCGTCGAATTATAATATAACTAATATGATTAAGCAATCGGAAATGACTGTACAACGGACGCCTCCCTTTCACTCTGTGAAATTGGGTAGTATAACTTTCCTTTGCAACAGTGAATGTATTGAAACACCAATTTTTAAAAATTTTTTAACATCTCATTCGATATAACTCTTTGCATTTCATTTTATATGCTATATATTATATAATTTTTAATTATTTCTCTTTAACTTCGAATTATCTGTAAAAATAAAAAAATATATTTATGATAGTAAAAAAATACCAATTTCAAAAAAAATGGTTATTAAACACATGCATTGGTGCAACAAGAAGGAATTAGAAATAAAGAAGAGAGAAAATAAGAATCATTATGGCGGCGAAGAAAATCAGGTAATTGTCAAAATAGTGCAAATTTCCTTCCAGCATCAATTATCACATATCAATAAGCATATATCCTTATGCATGTATAACTTACACACGATCATGCGGACACTTAATAAACTTTTCGTAGAATGAAGAATTGTCACTATGCGGCCTACAAACTTTGACCTGCATTTTGAGTTCGGTCGGAGAAAGAAAATATAAGGATAAACTGTGTGCTTAACAGAGCGAAGCATCTTTATTGTTAGTGTCGTGTACATACAAATCTATAAGGGCATCAGTCTTCGTGCTCGGAGAGAAGAAAAGAGAGCGCAATCTCCGAGGCCAGTGAAACTTTTTCACGAGGTAGCGCGTCAAGGCCGGTGAAACTTTAAATGAGATATGATAATCGGATAAACGGATGCCGGTGTTTCCGGATGCACGTCGCATTACGACCGTTACGATTATGCGATATAGAATCATCGATAATACTGGCTCTTGCAATGAAAAATAAAATGATGCTACATGTAGCAAATGCTTAAAACAATTATTCGGAAATATTTACGATAAATTTATAAGATTTATAAAATAAATATATAAATTCCCGAAAATAAGCTACCGAAAAAAGTCGCTGTTATATTACCATCATATAAAGAATATAAAAAAATATGTATTATTAAAGACCAGGCGTTTGACATATTGATTGAATCAAGAATTTTTCTTTAATTTGACGCAACAAAAAAGCCTATATATATATATATATATATATATATATATATATATATATCAGAACTTTTTTTAAACGCTAATTCAATCCAATACCCGTACAAAATTTATTAATATATAATACAAATATTATAACATATTAATATTTTTATTTATTTTAAAGAAAAATACACACGATAAGAGTTGCATATATGCCGAATTAAATGTCATTAAAACTATTAAAATATTATATCGAATACTGATAGCATTCACAAATGGAAATGCTTACAGTTGCATATTATCATTGTTGTATAAATTTTAAATTCAAAACACTAATATTAAATTCCGATAAAATAAATAAACGGGCCTAAATTTGACTGTCTTTCGTATTTGTAATATTTTGACTTGTGCGAAAAAATCACTTCAGTATTACATAAATTTTTATTTACTTTGCTGCTTTCGTCTAAACTATCTGATATCACATGTTTGACATTCCACACGCAAATGATTTCCTTGCGAAATAAGTTAAGTATTAAAACAATGTCCCTTATACATAAATTGTGTAATCCCTTGATTTCGACACGGACAATTGTAATGTCACTTGCAGGCGAAACTTTTATCCGAAAATTTATCGCAATTGGCTTAGCCGCACAAAGCGTAACGGCACGGTTCTCATCGCCATAAAAGAACGGAAAGTGCGCGGTATATCCGCTTTTACTTCAACAATCAGCACCATTGTCGCGACATAACGAGATTTAACTTAACGATTAACTAATGCTATGCGGCCCCCTTCGTCGTTTGGCACGAGCGGATAGCCTTCCGGTATGCCGCGAGAAATTAGTACGTGAAAAGTATCCGGACGCGCGATTAAGCTAGGGAGGAAACTACTATTAGCGTCAGCACAGAGTCGACGATAGAAAGCTATTAAGATTTCCGGATTTGCGGCTCACACTGAATTAACCCTGCAATGTACAACAATGCACGCTTACATAATCGCATCGGTGATTTCGCCAAGATTTTTAAGATGTGATTCGGCGATTCGATTGAAGATGTGAATATAAATCGATATAAATCACAAACGTGTCTCATAATATAACATCTCTTCTTTCTAACAAACAACGCTGTGATATTTTACACTTGATAAAGTGTATCCCTAGCAAAAAGAAGTAGTACAATGCAGGGATAACATTCGATCCGCTCACGCCAAAGTGGCCGTTCTATTTTGATTCGATAAGTGGGATTCTGCTTTGTCGCGCAGATTTATTATATATTCGCCAAAAATGAAAAAAAATTATGGAAAAGTATATAAAAATAACAAAAAATACAAAAACTTCCGATTATGATCCGTAAAATTAAATTTAATTGAACAAGATTTTTTCAAAAAAGATTTTTAATATTTAAGAAAGAGAGAGAGAGAGAGAGAGAGAGAGAGAGAGAGAGAGAC